AAAAAGATAAGGGTAATTTTTCACTCAAGCAATTGCTTGGACATGTTGATGCAGTTTTCTTGGCAATAAGAAAGTTTGTGTCATTGCTTTCTTCTTCTTTTAATGTCCTGGTCTACCAAACATTCTAGGATTTCTTAGTGGTGTCTTATCCAAGTATTATCCAGGTTGTATGCTATTTAGCTTTTTTGAGATCAGCTAAGATTAGCTACGTAGTACCTGCTGAGGAAAAGCAGGGAATCTTCAGCTAATTTTTTTAGCATACAATTTCCAGCCCTTTTTGCTTCTACAGGTTGAGGTAATTGGTAAAACAGTAAACTCTGAACTGCAGCTTGGGAGCTTCTCCAACCTGTTCCTCTGAAAATCCTTCCCAGCAGATTATTCATGTACAGAAATTTGTATATCTATTTTTTTTATAAAAATTTATTGTTTTTTTTTCCATTTTTTTCCAGCTTAAGACACAACGTGGTGGTCAGGGTGTCAAGTCATTCAAAGACAAAATCATATCAATATAACTCAAATTAATTATCAAAAATTTCCTCTTTGTTTCCTAAATATAATATTGCTTATTAAAATTAATACAGTTTTAGGTAAAGTTCAATCAAAAAGAAATCATCAATCACATGCAATTATAATAATCTATATCCTGTTTTTAAGCTTTACTAATTACAGTTGTCATACTCCAATTACGTTTTAGTAAACATATAGTTGGGATTTCAGGTATCCTTAACAATAGGTCATTCATTGAGACTGATTTTTTCCCTATCACAAATAGCATTTCCTCTCTCTCTATTACAACAATAGTTATCATATTTAAAATAATAATATAAGTCCAACAGATACAGTTCTATTTTTAACAATATATTCTATCATTTCATCAATCTACATCTATAAAAAAAATTTTTAAGCCTTTGATAAAGTTTACAACTTCAAATACTTATCAACTATAATATCAGGAAATTCCCATCCTTCATTCATAATTAAATCAAACGAACTCTCTCTATCTATTACAAGATAATTATATTTATAATAATAATGTAAGTCCAAAAAATACATTTCTGTTTTCAAAAATATATTCTATCATCTCATCAATCTACATCTATAAAGTCTTTTTACCCCCTGAAAAGGTTTACTCCCTCAAATACTTATCAACCATAATAGCAATAAATCCACATCCTTCATTCATTATTAAATCAGAGAAAAATCTCTAAAGCCTTTTTAACCCATCCAGTAACATTTTACGTCACGTTTAAACCTGACTCTAGCTTTCTTTCTATGCCAAGTTGGTTCCCATGTTAAAGCTTTTCGATTATCAAACCTCAAGATTTGATTACAAAAATTTCTAATCAATTCAAACTGAACAAAATTTCCTTCCCATTCTGCCAATATCATCTGAGTATTATATTGACTTTTACTCGATATTATGGTTATAAGTAAATTGTCCACTTTATTGTATTTTCCAGAGGATTATGTCTGAATATCAATCTTTGTTATTTTTAGTAATTGAACTGAGTCAATTACAGTTACTTCTTGGTCATCAAAATTATCCATCAGTTGTAGGTAACATTGTGTGGAATTAGTTGGCTCAGTGGTTTCCACATTTTCTCCCAGTATAGATTCACAATTGGGTTGTAAGCATAGTGTCTCTGTCTCTTTAAATTGTAGGTCTTGATGTGTAAAGGCCTGTTCAGGATTACTCAGTTCATCTTCTATTATTCCTTGTTCCATACCTTAATTCATTATTGGAGAGTCAATATGAGGTTCCAAGGTAGCCTCTTTAAGTTTTCTCCAAGGTTTCCAATAAGTTTCGAAGTCTTCTGTAAGTTCTAATATTTTTTCCAGTATTAAATCATAATCAAGATGTGGATAACTTTCATCCATTTTGGTGGTAGACTAGCCTATTCCTTTATTAGAGACTGTATTTGAAAAAGATCCACAAATATCCACCTCCAAAGGTCTAATAGCCAGCTTCACCACAGCTGTCAAGTTATCTTTTCTCTTTTATTATCATATGAAAATCCAATCCCTCTTCAAATAATAGGGAGAAGTATAGTTACAATTTCACTTTTCCCACCAGATGTCCTCAGTGGACTATAAAGTCTTTTTTTCCAAATTAATAAAGTTAAAGAAAAAAAAATTTCTCTCTTTTTTTAAAAAAAGTTAACAAGAGAGGTATCTCCAGCATTATCAAATTGAAAAAAAAACAAAGTAACAATGTCCCTTTCTTCTTCTTTTTCCCCTAAAATCCCCCCCCAAAAGTCCAATAATAGAAAAAACAACCATAAAAAATTATTAATATTTTTCTTTTTAGCTCTCTTTCTCATATAGGCAGCCACCACTTTCTTAGAAAAGGGAAATAGTCAGGAAAAGTCAGAATAGCAAGAGAAGGAAAGGTCTCACCCAGATTCACCACGGTGGTTCTTCATGCTTAGTTGTTCTTTTGACTTGTGGTTAGTGCGGCTGGGTGATTGGCCCTCAGAGTTAGCCACTGCTCCTCCACAGCTGAGCACAGCCTCCTCATGGTAGTCGCACCCTCCAGGGTGACTTTCGACCCACATAAGGGTCTACTGGCAGATGGAAGCTAGCCGACGAGAAGACGAGTCTCTTCGTACGGCTAGAGGCGCCGTGATCTGGAACCGGAAGTCAGATTTGTATATCTTTTGATCCATAGCACAATCTTTAAGGAATGAGGTTTCTCCAGCATCTGGGCATCTGAACAAAGGAGACCCTTGCTGTAATTTTGGAGTCTAGGACAACTTGCCATGGCCAACTTGCCACAGTCAACTCACCCTAGGACAATTCATCATGGCCAACTTCCCATAGGATAACTCGCATGGGACAAGAGTTATGTTCAGTGGTGGGATTCAAATATGTGAACAACCAGTTCTCTGTGTGGATGCTGCTTCCGGAAGTCCATTCTGGGCCTGGGCAACAAAAAATTAGCTATCGGTTCTGTCGAAGTGGTGCAAACCAGCTGAATCCCACCACTGGTTACATTAATATTGAAAAAATGGTGGTGTAAGGACCCGCCTTCATCAGTTCTCCCAAGAAAGCAGATCTCTTGAAATGGAATCCTTTCAAAAGGAAGTTTTATTGGGAGGTGTTGACAGCAGGAATAGAAGGCAGGATATGAGGGTTTCCTAGGTAAATCAAGTAATTAAAAGTGTCCATAGTAACCCCACCCAAACTGTCCATCTGGATGGTTCAAACAGGCCAATCCGCAGGTGTGAAAACACCATGGGAACAGAGTGATAAGGTGCCACTTCCAAGGCTGTTAGGTGTCTGCGCTGTTTCTTCCACACTCGGAGATAAAGCAGATGGTGGAGATACATTCCATTCTCACCCTGTTAGAAACACATCAAAGAGGATAGAGCAAGAGACAGAGCAAAGCAAATACTGTACATATCAGCACCTCAAGCTTCCCCCTCCCCCCCCAGAGAATGGCAGAACCCGAAAAGAGTAAGAAATCCCATGCACACAGAAAATAGGGTTCTGACAGGTGGAATACAATCATTAAAGATGCCAAAAGAGGGAATGATGAAAATTAAAATAATTTTTTAATTATTTTAAATAATTAAATTGAATTGTTGAATTGTTCTGCAGAGAGCTGTCCCATGGCGAGTTGACCATGGTGAGTTGGCCATGGCACGTTGGCTGTAACAAGTTGTCCCATTCTGGTAATTTTGGACTGGCTCAGCAGCAGTGGTTGCCAAAATCACAATCCTGTAGTACATTGATAATTGATGATTATGTCCCATAAAGTAGTTAACTTCTAGGAACCAAATCAAGTTTCTCCATAATGTCCCTAACCTGCTCTTTCAGGTCATCCAACAGTGCACTCATTGTAACTGGTTCCATCCACTTTGTTGCTGGCTCTTCTCTTTCCTTCTTCCTTTCCCAGCATTATATCCTTTCCAGGGAGGTGGGCCTTAGTATGTGTCGGAAGTAGAATGATTGAAGCCCAGTTATTTGTGACTTGAGTGAGAATTTCTGGGTTGATGTGTTTGATTATCCATTGATTTGTTTTCTTGGCTGGCCACAGTATTCTCAGGAATTCAAAACCAAAATTCAAAGGCATCACTACTCTTCCTATCATGCTTCTTCAAAGTGCGACATTTGCTTCCATAGAGCATCACAGGGAACACTATGGCATGTACAGTACTGTACAGTACATTGCTGTAGCAATGTTCTAGTAAGACAAATGCAAAATGTTAAAAATAAATAGCCAAAATATTTTTAGTTTGGTTATAGGCTTCCTCCCCTGCCTTCAGGCTGCAATGCAATGAACTAGTATGTTATTTCACCTGTAAGGATTATCATGCCTGGAATTTTACATCTTGTCACTGTCACAGTCTCAGTATGACCTAAACTAATACTTTAAATGTTTGTTTAATTGAGCTTCCTGCTTTGAGAAATCTGCTCCTTTAAAATTAACAGGAGTTTTGTTTATTTGCTTGCTTGCTTGTTTATGATTGATTTCATCAGGGACTTGATTACTCCTAAATTTTAAGCATGTCTTCATTCTCACCAGAATAGGTGTAATTAGACCGATAATTGAAGTAAGGAACATGAATTTTATGCTGCATTTTCTCTTGTTTTCCAGGCTATTCAACAAAGCTGAATTAGTGTCCCATTTTCAATTTTTATGATGACCTGAAGTCCCTTTGTATCAGTGCTGCAAGCCCAAATACCACTAAAGCGACTTTGTGTGCTCTGAATGTGTGGCAATATTAGTGCATGACAAAAGGCCTGAAAGATTGCATGGACATTACAAAGGTGAGGGCCATGATTAAGATTACCTGAATTTTAAGTTTACCTTGGGGAAGTGGCTAGGTTACGTCAGGTAGCAAAAATATTATTCCAGTGCTATACGAAATTTATTGATTTCCATTGTCTTTCTGAGACCAATTTAAAGTGCTGATCTTAATCTAAACCAGAGGTGGGGAACCATGGCTCCTTTATGACTTGTGGACTTCAACATGGCTGGCTCAGGAATTCTGGGAGTTGGTCTACAAGTCATAAAAGGACCATAGTTCCACACCCATGATCTAATAATACTTAGACTACATTTTTTCTCATCCTGCTGATTTCAGAATGTTGCACTTCGGTTTCTGTAACTCTAAGCTAACATAATCCTTGGTCATGTCCAATAGAAATTCAGAGTGTGTTTGGTGTGTCTGTGAGAGAAAGAGATCTCCTGGTTACAAAAAATTAATCCAGGTAAAGACCAGGACATTTTAAAGATTACTTTCTAATCTGTTCACGTAGTCTGCTCAATATTTCACTATCTAAAGTACAGCAAATAGGAATATAAAATAAGCTTTTTGAAATATGCAGCACAATTTCTAGAATTTTTTTCTGAAAGATTGTTTGACACATCTCAAAATGATATTTTCTGTACTCAGCCAGTCATAGCTGCCACTGTAGGAGATAACAAATAAAGCTATTGTTTGACCCAGATCACTTCAACTTTATTAAGTCAAAGAAACAGAGAGGTGAAAATTATAGATAGAGGTGAAGAGTAAAAGAAAAAGAAAGGATAAACACAAGAAATTGTTTTTTTTTAAAAAAAATTATGAAACTGAATAATCAGTCACAAATATGTTGAGACATATATATGAAATCTGTAGAGCCCTCAGTAGTTCCTGAGCTTGGTGTTTGCTTGCAGACATTTCAATACTTGACCAGGTAACATCATCAGTGCAAGTGAGCATGGAGTTTGCTCATTGTTTATATACAATAGCTTGTCCTGCTAGTGTTGGTGGTGGAATGGTTTGATTAGGGTATTATTTTCTGTTTGATTGTTTATCTGGTATTATACCTAGCTTATCTAGCTGTTGGCTGCTGAAGAGCACCAAGGACTCCAGAATTCAACCCTGACCTTTATGCATTCTCCTATATTATAAAATATAATTTGTATACAAATACAAATACAGATTTTATGAATAACATATAATAATATAATATCATTGCATATTGTGTTTCCCCAAAAATAAGCCCTATCCTGAAAATAAGCCCTAGCTTTATTTTTAAGCATGCACCTAATATAAGCCCTACCCCCAAAATAACCTCTATTTAAGAGCCTGTGCAGTCGGCTGCCTGTCCATTCTATCACACTGTCTGGTTGCTTGACACGAGCTGAGGCAAGGAGGATGGGGGAGCTGCCCCACCACCCTGCACCTGATTACCTCAGGGCTCTGACAGGCCTGGCTGCGTGGGCCCTGAGGTAAGCGGGTGGAGGAGCGCATGGGGCAGCTCCACCCCTCCCCCACTTGCCTCACCTTGTGGCAGTGACAGCGCAGTGTGCCACGCGGCATCCTGCCACAAGCGACTGCGAGTAGCTGCAGAAGAAGTGGGATGGTGGCGGCCACACGGGCTCCTGCTAGACAGGGCTGTCAGTGCCACCACTGTGAGGTGAGACAGTGGAATAAAATAAGACCTAATTTTTTGGAGGCAAAAAAAAAAATATAAGACCAGATCTTATTTTCGGGAAAACACAGTATTAACAACATATAAGTTGCTGATAGTATGGCTTCTAGGTGTTATAATGTACAGGTTTTTGTCTTCTCCTTCCTGTCCCTTCAGGAGATTTTGAGTTAGGGACATTTGGAAGCTGCTTGGATAGATGGAGAGTCAAAACTTTTCTGTGCAGCCACAGAAGTGAGTGTGCAGTTATCGCACTTTTCTATAAAACAACCTATTTATTTATACAATTTATATGGCTGCCCATCACGTGGGAAATGACTCTGAGCAGCATATAACAATCTATTAAACCTATTTATAATACAGCAGCAGCAGCAGCCTCTTCTACAGTTGCATGCATGATGTTTTAAGCTCTGCACATTTCTCTTATAATTATGAAGAGGTATGTGATGATACATGCGTCAGAAATAAATCACTAAACGTCTTCCAAATAGCAACCAAATATGGTAAAAAACAACACAGATTTATTTCAGAAATGTAAAGGGTTGATTAAAACCTTGCCTCAGAACCTATGTGCATTCTGCAAAACGCATGTTTTGTTCCAATCATCAAATAATCTTACCAAGGATTTTAACATTTGAAACTACTGCTATTCAGATCTTGCTCTCTGACTCCCCTTGGCTCCTTTTGTCACAATATGTCTGGCTCTGAGCCTGTGTCTCCTTGCAGCTTAATAAAGTCTGATGTGCAGATGTGAAAAAAGATAGCTGAAATTAATCTAGTGACGAGGGGTCGCAAAGAAAAGGTACCTAGCAACTTTCTCTCTTTCAAAGGCAATGTCATTTAAGCTCTCCTCCTGGTTTTGCCAGTCCTTCATTATAACCCATTTAGAATTTTCTTTTGAATTATGAGTTTTATAGTGGCTGTAAGATGATCTGAGTAGAAAGGCTGGAAAATTGGTTTCCACAATGGATGTGCAACATGCAACCATCACAATATAAAGTCCATGCAAGTTATGTATATCTGTGGTATGTGTGTGTTTGTGTGTGTGTTTTTCAAACCAAGTCACATAATATATGATATCAAGTGCACTTGCAAGTTTACAGCTGACATGTAAGTCTGTGAAAACACAAATAACATCAGTTGCAGGGTTACATAATATTTATGCAATAAGCTAATAATTATCAGGTTACAGCAGGTGTCAAGAGGGTGCATAATCCTTTCCTGACTCTGACAGGAAATAAAATTCCTCCTTGAATATGATATTTAAACAGGCATAGAGGGGAACTTTCCTTAAAGACCATTGCAAGCTTTAGAATTTTTCTGAGATCTAGAAAAAACAGAATTAAATTCCTCATCTGTCTTGTTGAAGATCTTCTCACATAATTCCTACCATTACTGCCAATATTACATTGTAAAGAAATTGCCAATTTAATGCATAGATGGGTTATACCTTGTGCCTATTTGGTGCTCTGTATATCCTTAAAGAAGTTAGTGTGCTGAAAAAAATGCCCTGCGGAACAAATATGATTTAGGCCATTGTTTTTGATGAATTACGTTACCTTGTTTATTTAATAATCACATTAAATTTGAAGTGTATTACATTAAGAGAATTTTGTTGTTAACAAAGGGATGGTGGTTGTAAAATAGAAAAATCATATGTATCAAATATATACAGTACTAGCTGGGGTAGAGGTCTGAGCATCTGGTGGTCTATCAAACTGAAAGCTGCCCATCAGTCACACTGTAGGAGCCTGGTAGTGGCTTGCTACAAATCTCACACTTTTGCTGTTTGAGAATGCAAAAGCAGAGAAAATGGAAAAACATTCTGTAGAAACTAGCCATGTTATCAAGTTCAAATTTGAGTGGACGTGTACCAATCCAAATATCACTGACTTGCAAATATAGGAGTACAGCTGGCCCCCTTTTTAGAAAAAAAAAAACAAGCTAGCCAGTTGAATCAACAAATACTGGAGGCTAAAACTTAGGGCTGGCTGAGGAATTCTGGAAGTTGAAGTCTACAAGTCTTAAAGTTGCCAAGTTTGAAGACCCCTGCATTACAGCAATGAAAGACATTTCCTGTAACCATAGCAGAATGAAAAATGATACCATTACAAGTAGTCCTCAGTTGACAACAGTTCGTTTGAAGTTACAACAGTGCTGAAAAAAGTGATTTATGACCATGTTTCACCCTTATGACTGTTGCAATGTTCCCCATGGTCATGTCATTTACTTAACAACTGACTCACATTTATGATGGTTGCAGTAACCTGGGATCATGTGATCACCTTTTGCAACCTTCTGACAAACAAAGTCAATAGGGGAAGCCAGATTCCCTTAACAACCATGTAATTAATTTAACAACTGCAGTGGTTCACTTAACAAATGTTGTAAGAAAATCATAAAATGAGGCAAAAGTCACTTAACAAATTTCTCACTTTGCAAGATAAATTTTGGGGTCAATTGTGGTGGTAAGTTGAGGACTATCTGTATATTCTTTGCTTCAGACAGTGAAAAGTCTTAGGTTTCCCTCTTAGGTTTGAGGAGAAGGACAAGCAAGTAACCAGCTTGTTTGTCAGAACCATAATATATTTGTGGAAGTTTCAGTTTAATTCAAAATGAGTACCTCAAACAAAATGATAGGAAAGAAAATATCCTGCAAAATTTAATTTACATCTTCTCAATTCTAATGAGCCAGATTCCAGTGGTGAAACTCAACAAACTCCTGGCGGATTTCTATGCCACAGTGAAGAAAACAGATGGTTCTGATTTGCTGGCCACATCACTTTATGCCATCCATCGGGGATTAGATCGGATCCTGAAGAACGCTGACATTGGTTTCTCCATCACAAATGAAAGCTTCAACTCATCTACCAAGAAATGCAAGGAGAAGCTGAGGGTGCTAAGAAAGGCTAGGATGTCAGGTGCTTGCTCTCGCCACATTGTCTACTTCTCCCTTTCCGATGAAGAACAGATGTGGAGGATAAGGTGCTTGGGGGATGGAAGTCCACTAGCTTTACTATCCACTGTTGTAAAATATAACAGCCAGTAGTTGAATATGAGAACGTTGCAGGAACATGGTGACGTTGAACTCCTGAAGGATTCAAAGTATTGGCCCTTTTTTGCATGGACAGATCATGCAAAACGAGGGAAAGGAATGGCTTGATCCAAGTGTGTCATGGCCAGATACATCACGAGCATGCCAAAGGGCAGTGGCTGTGTCCCTACTGCCTCTTATACAAGTACAGATATATCCACCAGCCTCCATCCCAGATGGAAACCAGGTCCCTTTTCTACCTTATTGCTCAGAAGGACTCCACGGCTGTGAGCCACATTTGGTATGAAGAGCAGAGGATGGAGTGGTGCTCTCTAAGAGGGATTGACCCCAAACTAGCGAAAAAGATCAAACTTGATTAGTGTGAAAACTTCACTTTTGTCTCCTTCACTCAGGCTTCTCGCAAGCTTGGTTTGCTTAACTCCTACCAGGAATGTTTAAGCTAAATATGGGTTTCATGACAATAATGCATAGCATTCCCACATGCTGGGTGGTAATGATTTTAATCCTTTGAGTATTTAAGTGGGGAGGAGAACTGAACTTTTTCCTCATCTTGATCCAAATAAACATTAACCTGAAGCCACCATAGGAAGTTCTCCAGATGGCACACAAGAGACTTTCCTCTTGATATAAATAGGATCAAGATTACAACAGAAATAAGGGTTTACAAGTAGTCCTTGACTTACAACCATAATGGAGCCTGTCCATCATGATCATAAGTTGCGATTGTTATAAAATGGGTCACCTATGTGACTGACCTGATTTCACAACCTTTTTTCTAGTGGTTGCTAAGCAACCGCTGTTGTAGTTAAATGAACCAATGGTTTGCTATGGGCCAGTTTTGCTAAAAACCAGAAAAATATGCCATAAAAAATGACATAAAACATGGTCATGTGACCATGGGATGCTACAAACGACTGAAAATGTGGCCAGTTGCCAAGTGCCTGAAATGCGATCACATGACTGAGGGGAGGGAGTGGCCATAGGAATTTCAGAACTGGGTTGTAGGTATTCCTAGGGAGATCTATTGTAACTGAGTGACCCACCGTAAATACAGTGCTACCTGCATACACTTTTCTTATTCTCTTCATGCTGTTCGATTCCTGCCCATAGCTGTGATTTACCCTAAGAAAAATATGTCCATGTTAATTGCATCTACTTAAGTAGCATCACTTCAGGCTTGATCCAAAGCCTACTATTCTTTCTGTCTGAATCTCTTCAAGTTCTATAACACCAGTTGTACAAGGGGAAAAAAAGAGGTTATTTCCAGATACACACTGAAATCAGGCAATTAGAATTCAACTGGCAATTAGAAATAGTATGGTTGCTGATTTCTCCTTTAATAAGTTTATTGAAGAGACTATTGTTTAACATCAATAGAGAAATCTTCCCTTAACTATATTGTCAGAGCATGCACAGTCTTATTGCGCTGAGGTAACCCAGGAGTAAATACAGTAAACAGTGGTTTGTATTAACTGGTGGTTTATATTACAATATCTACAAATATACACTAGGAATAAATATATACACGTGGTGAAACAGCAAACTCCAATATACAGCAATTACAGCAGGAAACGAACAAGAAAGACTCCAGCAAGGCCTTCCCTTTTATACTCAAGCTCTTAAAGGGATACAGACTCCTGCTGAGTCATTCCTAACATTGCATCATTCATCACACATTATACAAGCTGGTTACCTTGACATACTGTACATTATTTACAAGTAAATCACTATACTGTGATGTGTAGTAAAAACACCCCAAAAGTAAGATCAACAGTATCTTTGAGAAGTTCTGTTAGCCACCAATGTCTTAAGTCATCAAAATCTCAGTCAGAAACATTGATATATCAGTATCAATTAAATTTGCAGTTAAATTATGGAAAACATAATAGGAAAACATCTGAGTACTGGAAATATAAGCTAAGATCCTACAGCCTTTATCTGTCCTTTCCTTTTCCACACAGATATGTCTTTTTAGCTCTGTTTGGTATACAGTAACATGAAGTCTTTGCTAGAAGCAGACTTATAAATTCCCTTTGAAGAGAGATTTATTAGGGATTGCAAAATGAATTTAGGCATATACTAAAGGAACATACTAAGTAAGAATTCATAGACATTGTTTTATTGAAGATTTTATATTCTATGCAGCTATTTAAAACTATTTTAACATTAGGTTAGTGTCAGGCCAAAGCTGCATGTTAAGTTCCAATTAAACTGATTTGTTGCTGATGCCTATGCACGGGTGAATTAATGGTTAGTACTGTTTTGATGTCAGAAAAGGGTTAATGGAATTCAAGAGGTTTGGACTTAGAATGCTTGTGAGATTATAGAGACTCTATGCTGATTCCTCTTTTGACTCCACCCCCAGTGCTGCCACTTCTACAGTTAAATGGTTCTAATGTTAGTAATTTGTTCTTATATTGTCTAGGGGATGGCTCCTCCTATATTACTTCTCAGGTTTCTAAATTTCTTTTAAGAGCTGTAACTATTAGAGGAGAACATTGTAATTCCCTTTAGCCAAGGCTTCTGGTGTTAATTGTTTGTGATTATATTTTTCTTGTGTTTTCTTTTGTTGCACTTGCATTTTGGTCTGTGACTGCAAAATAAAAATTATTATTATTACTATAAAATGCAAACAGGTTTCTAATACACTCAAAAGCTGTAATTGCTACTAGGGATAATTACTTGAATTATCAAAATAAGCAAGAATTGATCAGCTATTTTTAGTTCACTAAGTTTCAAGAAATTAGAACAGATTTTTTTTTATAAAAGTAACACTTTAAATGTTGATTCTTCAAATCTAGCACATGGCACACAAGTCTTGAAAATGAATTTGCTATACATTGCAGTTGAGTTAATCTGGGCTAATCAGTTTTTGCTTGTATGAAACTAGAGCAATCACATCTCAACTTTCTTCTTCAGGGACCCTGTTTCCATATTCAAAATATTTTCCTGCTGTGCATCATTGCAATATATGTAGTCCTCAACTTATGACCATTTGTTTAATGACTGTTCAAAGTTACAATGGTGGTGGAAAAAGTGACTTACAACTGGTTCTTGCACTTATCACTGTTGCAGCATCCTTGCAGTCACATGATAAGAATTGAGGTGCTTGGCAACTGACATGCATTTATGAAGGTTGCTGTGACCCCAGGGTCATGTGACCCCAATTTACGACCTTCCCAAGAGACTTCTGACAAGCAAAGTCAATGGGGAAACAACTTTATCACAACAATTGTAGCAAACTAGTGTGTAAAATTGAGCACAACTCACTTAACAACAAAACTTCCAGTACCAATTGTGGTCATATGTAGAGGACTATCTGTAAACGTCATACTCATATTCTGGCAAAGAAAGTGGCTATGCCTACTCTACCCATCTTTTTTTTGAGGATCTCACCAATTCTGCCCAAGTATGACTTTCTCATTCTTCCAATTCATCACTCTTCTCTTATTCTTTCTTCATGCTTTTTTGTTTTTAAGCTGTACTGGTCAGTCACTTTTGTATTCAATCTGCATTGATTAAATATTTTCTCTTTACCTGATGTCTTCTGTTTTACTATATTTTTTGAGTGCCCCATCCCTGTTGCATTCAGTTTACTTTTTATGTTTCTCCTGACATACCAATACATAGGAGTGCAGGGGCTCACATGTTTAGGACACTGTGTTTGAGACCCGCATGCTGCTGCTGCAGGGTTAGTTCCCATCATTCGCTCCACCTCCTTGATGGGGATATGAAAGGAGCCCCCATGGGCGTCCCCTGGGCAATGGTGATGACACCAGTTAATTCTTTCAATCCAGATGTACCTTAAATGGTGCCTTGGACACAAATGGGACGGTGGAAGATACCAACACTTTACTTCTATAACAAAGTGAGCAGGGAATATTCTTTTTTCCTGAATTTTGCAAGGTGTCCCCAATCATATCCATTCTGGTCTTTTTTCCTATTCATTCGTTCATTCATTCATTCATTCATTCATTCATTCATTCATATCATCTAAGAATTTCCCCCCTGGATAGCTGTGGTTCCTCCATTATCATTCCCTGGAGTGCAACATGCAATAATAACAACATTAATTCCCAATGTCATATATATTTATAAAGTGAAAAATAATTAAAATCCATTTCATAACTGTGCTTTCATAACCAAAGGCAAGAGACCCAGAGCTGCTGCTTCTCAGTTATTCCTCGAGCCTAAGAGGCAGGAGAGAAGAATCTGGCCTAGGCAGTGAAGTCTGGCCAATATAGCTGAATGTCAGCTGGGCTGCTGCAACTGTCCTGATGCAACTGCTTGCAGGGCTGCTGCAACTGCCCTGCAATGCCCTGACGGCGGCGCGCTCTTTCACATCCCTGATGACGTCTGCCAAAGCCGACCTTGCCTGTCCCGTCGCTGCTTGCAGTAGGCGGCGCTGCTTCTAGTTGCCTCCTTCATGTTTGTTGTTGTTGTTAATTGCGAAGTCGTGTCCGACCCATCGCGACCCCATGGACAATGTTCCTCCAGGTCTTCCTGTACTCTACCATCTTCTGGAGTCCATTTAAGTTCTCACCTACTGCTTCAGTGACTCCATCCAGCCATCTCATTCTCTGTCGTCCCCTTCTTCTATTGCCCTCAATCTTTCCCAGCATTAGGCCCTTCTCCAGTGAGTCCTTCCTTCTCATTAGGTGGCCAAAGTATTTGAGTTTCAACTTCAGGATCTGGCCTTCTAAAGAGCAGTCGGGGTTGATCTCTTCTAGGACTGACTGCCTCCTTCATGCTTCTACCCAATTCAGAGAAGGCGGCATGAGCACGTGCAGTTGCTGACTTGGGAAGGACCCGAATGGAGCCTGCATAAGAGAACGAAGAATCTTCGAGAAGCAGAGGGGTGGGGAAGACCCCTACTTGGAGTAACGCTTTCCTAAGGCTGAATATGCTGCGGTCCCTTTAAATCTTGATACCAGTCCTTCTTCAGAACTTCTTACAACCAGTGTGTTTTTGAAATGAATTCAGGTATTCTAAAAGAAAAAAAAAGGTAAAAAAAAAATTCCACTGAGCAAATACACTCCTGGCAGACAACAACTTTTGTAACCAAGTCCTGGAGTTGTTTAAGTTTGAACAGGTTTATTACTCTTCATGGTTTATACATAGCATTATTACTGATGAATAATGATTGTGTATCTTGCGGACTGATAAAGAGAGACCATACTTTGCAAACCTTTCGTGACTCTCTCTCCTCTCTCTCTCTCATACGCACACGACTGAACTGATGCATGTATAGACCTAGTAGAATTTATTTAGTTTTAAATATAATGAAAAAGACCCTCAAGCAACTTAAAAAAAGAGAAAAAAATTTCTCCCCAAAAAATCTCTTACTTTGTTGCTTGTATGTTTATTGAGAGCTTATGCACCGGGACAAATTTCTTGTGCGTCCAATCACACTTGGGCAATAATATTATCCTGTCCTGTCTCTTATGCCACAGTTCAGACTGTGTGAATACGTGCATCTACACATGCCACAGTTCTGAACTCTATCCAGACAACTGATCCAGCCCTGAAGTTCGAAAAGACTGCTTATTCGTGCTGTAGTACAACAAATTTCCTATCCTGCCTCCATAGAAAGTTGGAGAAACCATATTTTTGAAGAGAAAGGGGAAGTGAAAATTCCATTTTGCAGTTGCAAGCACGTGTGCAAAAGTTTAGTCTGTAGGCTGCAATTTATAAGAAAATATGTGGATTTTTATTTTGGCTCTCGGAGTTATTGTATCATGTACAATTAGATTTGTTGAAAATGCATTATTGCTAGTGGGAAACATGTGGATTCAATTGTATGCCAGATTTTTTTCAGATGGAATTTAATATCTTTTTGCCCCTCTCAGATTTTGGAGGCAGGATAATTCTTCTGACCTATGTCATATTTTCCAAAGGACATTAATCCAGTCTGGCTATAATTACTCCACATTTGAAAATGTCAGAGACTATAACACATAAAAAATATTGCTGCGTTTAAAGTTTTTTTTAAAATTTATGAAATGTTCCCCCAATGTAATTTGTTTCCCTGTCCTTTAAAATCAGTTACTAACCATCTGATTGATCTGAAACTAATAGGGCCTTATTTGAGGTCTTTAGGTAAAAATATGCAAAAACTATTCTTAAGATCTCTTCCCTTGCTCCTCCCCTCTCCTTCCCTCCCTCCCTCCTCAAAAAGCAGTTCTGGGTAGCTTTCAACTAACTAGAAGCAGAAAAAAATATTAAAAAGAAAGCACAATGACCACTTAGAATCAGAACTGGAATAATTAAATAAAAAGATAACTCTAAGCCAAACTCTATAATCCAGTTAAAAAACATTCATTATGAACAGGCTCATTTGATGTTCTAGCCCACAGGTCGGCAACCTGCGGCTGTTTGAGCCTTCCCCTGTGGCTTCCAGCCTCCTCTGCCATTTGCAGAGAGAGACAGAGACAGAGAGAGGCACTTGTGCTTCCCTGCTTCTCTGTCTCTGTGTTTATGTATGTGTGCTTGTATGTGTGTGTGTGTGTGTGTGAAAGAGAGTGGACTCACTGTGTTCTCTGAAAGCTGAAAATCTTTGGGGGCGTGGCTCCTCCCTTTGCTGCGTTTCTGCAGGAAGCAGGAAGAGCAGGAGAGAGCTAGCTAGCCCAGCTATGCTGACTCAGGAATTCTGGGAATTTAAGTCCATGAGTCAAAAGAGTCGAGGTTGCCTACCTCTGAGCTTGTTGGAGAACAGCTTGAAGCCAGCTTGCCAGGTGAGCAGCAGGTAGGAGAGAGAGAGAGAGGGAGAGAGAGAGAGAAAAAAAGAAAGGGAAGAGAGAGAGAGAGAAAGAGGAAAGAGAGAGAGAGAAAGAGAGTGGGGGAAGAGGACTGGCAGACCAAGTGCAGAAAGAAAGAGAGGGAGGGAGAGAGACACAGAGACCCTTTTGATATATAAAATGAAGATAACACTGCATATATCCTTTTTTATCTTTATGAGATATATGTATGTGTGTGTGTGTACACACACACACACACACACACAAAGGTAAAAAAGGATATATGCAGTGTTATCTTCCTTTTAGATATCAAAAGGGTTTTGCGGCTCCCAGTGTTTTGTTTTTGGTGGGAAACAGTCCAAGTGGCTCTTTGAGTGTTTTGGGTTGTCTACCCCTGTTCTAGCCCAGTGCCAGGAAGATGAATCAGATTTTCAGGTAGGCCAGTAGGTTCTGGTCACTGAAACTTCAGGGAATTATGTTCCATAGGACAGGTGGTGTGACAGAGAACATATGCCTTCTAGGCTCCAGTAAGTGACAGTATTGGGAGAAAAGGCCTGTAGAATGGCCACTCTATCAGATTTGTACCGAGGGGTACATGACATGGATTTGAGCCATGGTGGCACAGAATGCAGCATTGCAGGCTAATTCTGCCAACTGCCAGCATTTCTATTGTCACCAGCTCAAGGTTGACTCACTCTTCCATCCTTCTGAAGTCAGTAAAATGAGGACCCACATTGTTGGAGGCAATATGCTGGTTCGAGAGGGCTGTACTGCACTGTGAAGCACTATATAAGTCTAAGTGCTATTACTATTGTTATTTTATAATATTGTTAATTAGCATACTTACTTTGCATTTTAATTTGACTTATTTTTCTCTCTTTTAAAATAGTGATAAGGATTTATCAAACCATTATAGACTGGTATGTAGGAAAACCTTTTATCCTGTTGCTGTATGAATTGATTGATAACATGGTCAGGACAATGTTTCCTGATAAGAGAGAGAGAGAGAGAGCTTGCTAGCACTAATTGGCATCTGCTTTATCTTGTAAACTCCAGACAACCTTTCTGCTTATTAACATCCTAAAATTTACGCCCCTTCTGTCATCACATTTCATTTTAATGAACATGTGAGTTCATTATGGGATGCCAATATGTAACATGTTTGACTACATGTAAGTTGTAATATATTGCATATGCAAAGGGGAAGTTACTTTCGTCCTGTCCAGTCACCTCTTCTCTTGCATTTTCTTTGCTGTCTTAATGACAAAAGGAAATGTAAGATGGGTCTTGATGTCCTCCCTTTTTATAGGGGGATCCCACTGATCAGAGTACTCTAATAAATTACTTTTAAATGATCTTTCCAACTCATAATTAGTATGTCTGCAAGAAAGTAACCAAGCTCAGAGAGCACCAAGGACCTCACAGTTCAACCCTGAGCTACCAATCTTTTATACTTTCTATACATTCTGGGAATGATCAGAGTTGTTTGTCAACGTAGCTGCAGAGCAAAAGATTGAGAAAGTTACCTTAGGGATTATATTTAACTTCTGATCTTTTTACTTTCCCATCTTTTCTTTTTCAAAGATAAAACTATGATACTCTCAAGTCAATCTCAATTCCTGGTGGCTGCCTCCATGCATGTATCTCCATGCTATTACAGATGTGGCTTATCTCTGTCTTTTTCCAGGTTGTTTTTTTTTTCGCTTCCACAATTTAACCTACAACTCTAGTATCCCCTGCCTGTTCCCCATCTGATTACTAACTAGGGCTGACCGTGCTTAGCGTCTGAGATTAACTAAACTAGTGAAATGCTGCTACCTATTGAGAGGATAGATTGCAAAGGGACAACATTACATTTCTGCATCAAAACAGTTCTTGGGTAGTTCAAAAACACAGTGTTAGCTAGTAAATAATGAATTATATCCCAGCTAGGTGAAAGCTGGCAGTGAATCAAAATACAGGCTTCGTTCTGTGTAAAAGCTTTTTCCCTGTTTTGAAAGCTGACATATTTATGATAGGGTGGCATGATGCAGTTTGTAATTCACTGTTAATAATTATTTACAGGAGCTGTCACTTGGGGGTTTCTGAAAGCAGGTGAACTGTCAAATAGGAAGATCACACAATTTACACTAAGCAGTATGTATTATGCAAACCCAGGAGTATATTAACTTTGACTGCCTGAAACCAATCTGACAGCAAATAGATCAGAAGAAGGAAAACAGCATCAGTAAAAAGGAAGAAGCAAATCGAAGAAAACAATTTTAAAATGAATAATTTAATGCTTGCTGGACCATTAACATTTCTGTGGTTTAGAAGAAACTATACTTTAGACCTCAGTGAATTTTGTATCCAAATAGTTTAATTCTATAGCATTTCTACAATGCATCTGCAAGATGGGCTAGTTTTGCTTCAGCAAGGGATGTATGACACAGAGGCAATGCACTTCTCTTACATGAGGCAACCAGGTGTGGGATTTATGCTGGTGAAGCTACACAGCTTTGACCTTCAGTTGCAGTATCACAAAAGATCTTCTGCACATGTGCTGCTCGTACACAGAAGCATCTTCTGGCTACCGAAATTGCCAGCAGTGGCATGGTGGAAGTGGACAGCTGCATTTCTTCATAACAGCTTTAAAGAACTGCTTCATAGGAAAATTGCTCAAATTCAGCAATCTTATCAAAGCTTGCACATAATAACAGCTATAAGAAATCTAGACACTTGGACTCATTTTTAAAAATTAAAAGTGAAAACTCAAATGCTTGCAAAAACTGATGTCACACTTGCCTGATGATTCTGTATGTCATCTGCTATAAACTCTGGAGAGGGTGGATGGGAGGGGGAATGCTTGAGGGAAAGCAAAAGTAACTACTGTATCTCCCCAAGACACTGCTTCAAGGTCATCCAGCTGCGAGAAGAAGGTAGCTGTATACCAATCTGCTCTTGAAGTGACTGAATACCAGTCTGCTCTTGAAGTGACTGTTCTGAAAACATCTTGCTTGAACATGATGGTCATGGGAGGCAGTTACACAGGGAGGGAAAGGTTGAACTTAAGGATTTTGGTGCCGATTTTCAGTTCTGGCTATGCATTACACTTGACTTCTAATCAAATTATACCTTTCTCAACAAATGGTGCCAATAATCATTTATATTTAGAGGTTTAAATGCTGGCAGATCTGACACTGTAACTGCATTTGCTTATTATATGCCTGGGCTTGCATAGAAGGATCCGATTTGAAAAATAAAAGACAAAAAAAGCTTTTGATTCCTAGAAATTAATAGTCATATATGTTTTGTCATGAAAGTGATGATATTGTAAAGGATCTCTGCCAGCTGGACTCTTTCCTGGTAAAACAGACTTGCTTGCTATTAACCATGTGTTGATTTCTTTTTGTGCTAGTACTAAGCGTTCTGCATGGACAGCCTTTGAACAATAGATTAAACTGCTTTGGATCCAATAAATGACTACTAAATTACTAAGTGAAACTACTCCTTGGGCTCCATTACAAGTACTCCTTAACTTATGACCGTTCAACGTTATGACCTACCTAAAAAAAGGAGACTTATGACCTGGATAGGAAATTCTGATGGTTGCCCCCCTCCCCTCACAGTCATGTGACTGCACTTCAGATATTTAGCAGTCGGGCTGCATTTACAGCTGTTTGCAGTGTCCTGTGTCCTATTACTGCATTTTATATTGTTGTAGAAATCAAAGACTTGAATCAGCTCTTTGAGGAAAGGGAAGTTTATTGCATGCAGGTTCAGAGAGCCATCCTGGCTTAAACAGTCTGAACCCAGATTGTACTTTGATGACCACTTTTATAACCCTTTCTGGCGGGGGTTATTTTCGGGTCACATTACATTCTATAGGTCCTTATTCTAACATAGAAAAACTACTAGACAGATCTATAATCGATAGCTCCTCGTTTACATTGGAATGTTTTTAGCAATCAGCAATATATCAAGTGTTAAGCAATTGAGATATACCATGTGACAGGCAATTAGTAATATATCATGTGCAGAGCTGGGAACAGGATGTCTGGCCATCCTAAATTTAAGAGTTGTCTTGTAAGCAAAATAAACCCACATTTTTGTTGGGCCATCTGCTTTTTATACACATCCTTTGTCGGACCAGTATTTTTCCAGGTACCACTTTATTCCCCCCTGATGAGACTTATCTCATCTATGCAGATAAGTTTCATTCCATAACACTTGGGTCTGATGTATGTATGTTGTTATACTCTTGTCTCTGTAATTCCCACATGTGAAGAACCACCCTTTAGGTAACCATATGTTTGCATACCCAAAAGACACTGTTTGGAAAGATGTGCAATTTAGCTTTTCTTGGCTCACTTTCAGGCAATGAGGTGAAGGTATATTCTGCTCACACCCTGTGACATGTGCACATTGTAAGTCTTCTGGAATGGCAACGTTAGGAGTATGTGACTGAATTCCTTAGCTGCTGTGACTGGAACACACACTGGTATTAAACATGTGGACAGCAAATTTTCCATGTCATATGCTTCAGAAAGGCAAAAATCAGTTGTGTTGGCTAGTTTAGCCAATTGGACCCACAAATTATATTGCATCCTTGACTCCAATGGATGGGGCATATCCTTATTCTGATGGGACCTTCTACTTTGTTTTCTCTCTAGGCACTTCCTCGGGGGTCTTTGGATAGTTACTCCAAATTCCACCGGGATAACATGTACGATGCAAGTCCCCTTCCAGCCCGTCTTCAACTGCGAGACTAGGGTGACCCGCTCCCATCCCCAGAATAAGGGAGGCCCACACTCCAGAGTAACAGGAGGAGGAGGCTTCTTATATGGGGCCTTTACACATATGCCTTTCCTAAGAATATACCCACCATACTGACAGGCTTCGGGATTGACAGGTGGTCTTGTAATACAGGCTTCTTTAACTATTCTGTCAAATGCTTGGGGAAATTGACAAGGATGAGGCCAGCTACCATTCCAGCATTCTGGGAAAAATCCAATAGGGGGGTGACCTTTACAAGTGCCCGTGCCTATAGCATAAGATTGGATAAGGCGTGGAGCTTCTTCTGGCTTGCTCCATTGGCCTAAATTAGAAAGACAAACATTATTACATGCAACAACAGTACTATATAAAAGCAGAAGGAAGCCTTTCATCCTTTCTTCTCCCGTGCGTAGAAAGCCAGCGTCCGGGTGTGGCTTAGCAGGGGGTTGAATTTCAGCCAGGCAGCCGTAGATATATGTGCAGGATACACTTGTACTAATACAATATCTGGTATACAAACAATAAAATATTCCTTAAACATACTAAACACGTTTAAGAGTGAGTTTGGTGGGAACCTTGGGGTCCCTGTTCACTGTCCACAGAGGTTCTGCAGCTGCTTTACCTCTGGTCCAGTGAATCCAAGATTTAGATTCTGCAATCTTTATTGCTAAAGGAGAGGCCATTATTACTTCATAAGGTCCTTTTCATCTCCCCTCCAGTTGTTCATGTTTCCAATGTTTCACCCACACCCTATCCCCTGGTTTAAAGGGATGACATCTTGTTATTAGTTTAGAAGGTGTTTGTTCAACAACCTAGTCCCTAAGTTTTTCCACTTGCTTATTCAGTTCCCCCCATACTCCCCCCTGATGGCCCCTTTACAATGCATAACTGAAACCTTTGCTGGCTTTTGTACTGCATCGAGAAGATGCTTTATCAAGTGTCCATGTAACCCATGTTTGCCAGCCGAATCCCTGAATCCCCTCTCCTTAGACACAGCACCATGAGCATGCAGAGTTAGAAAAGCATATTTACTATCTGTCCAGACATTTAAAGTTTCCCCTTCAGCTCTTTCCAATGCTCTAATTACTGCCCACAATTCTGCCACTTGAGCACTGCAGTTTGCTCCTAGCGGACTACTTTCCACCACTTCCTCATCATTCACAATCGCATATCCAGAAACCCTCCTCCCCTCCTTCATGTAACTCGAACTGTCTGTATACCAATTCAGGGCAGCAAGCAGTTGTGTTCTGAATCCACTTCTGTGGGCAATAGGGTGGCAGGGTTTAGCCGGTTAGACACCACTAATTTCACTTGAGGATTTTCAATCATCATCGCCTGATACTTAAAAAGCCTTTGACTGCTGATCCACAAATACCCTTTATTATCCAAGATAGAATGAACGGCATGAGGGGTGTGGACACTTATGGGACATGAGAAGGTCAATTTATTACAGTCCTATAAAAGGACTGCTATAGCAGCAAGAACCTTCAGGCAGTGTGGCCAGCCTTGGGCAACCCCATCTAATTGCTTAGATAAGTAAGCCACCGGGCGTTGCCACTGTCCTAATTGTTGAGTTAACACCCCCAAGGCAACATTCTTTCCCTAAAGGCATTCTTTTGTTCTCCCTCCCATTCAAAAGCAAACAACGGCTGGCTAGCCTTGTGAATAGGAATCGTGAAAAAAAGCATCTTTCAAATCCACAACTGAAAACCACTTTGCTATGAACAAGTGTATACCAAGGCTTCCTGATTAAAATTGTCCACCCTTGATAAGAAATGCTAACCACCAAGATGTCCCCAAATGTCAATTTTAGATAAAAATGCCACTGGCTGCCTTCCCCCCCCCCTATGCACACACTTCTGGGCCAAAACCTCCTCCAACCTTTGTCCTTGTTTATAAATAAATTACCTAGCAAAGAACCAACAAAGGAGAGCTCACCAAACCCTGTTTGCATTTATTAACACAAGCTCTTTTTCTAACAGTTTTGCATACAAATCTTTACTCAAAACAGCATAGCATAGCTATTTATAATCCCAAAATTTTTCTCAACTTCATTCTAACTTCACACAAAAAATAAACAAGTTTAATAAGATATTCTGAGTTACTGAAAGTTTTTTTTTTTCTAAACTCTAGTATTGCTTTTAATATAAAATTAGTCAAATTCCAATTTAATCAAATTCCATTCAGATGGAAACAGATTTCCATTAAATTTCCATTAAATAGGGAGAACATTTTACAAATCTAAGCAAACTTTCTTGGTTGATATTAAACAATTTAAACTCAAAAATTTCCCCAAAAAAGTTGTCCAACAATTACTGACTCCTCTTTTGAATAGAAAAAAATTGCAAAAGTGGGCATTAAATTTTCACAACCACCCAACCTTTCTCAAACCTGAATTCTAAGCAGGGAAAAAGTTAAAAAGATCAACCCCCCCCCTTTTCTCCTCTCTCTCTATCTCTCTCTATCTCTCTCAAAACAACACAGCCAGAAAAAAAAAAGCAGGGGGGGAAAGGGGGTTGTGTCTGCAGATAGAATTTGAAAAGGCATTAACACACTAACATTTGCCAAAGGGAGAGAGCAGAATAGGCAAGAAAATGGTATAGGATTTCCTGCCTGAGCAGGTAACTTTGGGCTGTTCTTAAGAGGGAGAAAAAAAAATAAATAAATAAACAAACACATCTTTCTTCACTTTGTTTGTTGGCCAGACAAACAGAGTGAGGTTATATATTTTTTTGTATCTTCTTTTCTCTTGAGGTTAGTAACAGTCATATTTACTTCACACACAAAGACTCTGCTTTCAAATCCACAACTGATCTTCCTGCTCCAGTATCCACCAAAAACGTTGTCTGTTTGCCCCCTATATCTAAAGTAACCAATGGCTCAGGGGGGGCTTTCTCCAAGCCAGGTCCCCGTCAATCCGACCAGTTAGTTCCTGCCAATCCAATTCCTTCAATCTCCCTATTTCTATTTTCATCTGTCACATTCCTCAAACCATCTCCTACATTCCTCAGACCATCTCTTACCATCCCTGGACCCCCTCTCTGCCCTCTACCCATGAAGGGGGAGTGCATGGGGGGCCCACTGCCAACACCTCCACATCCTCTGCCTTCTCTTCCTCTCCAACCTCTACCTCGCATCTGCCTTCTTGGACATTCTCTTGGACATTCTCTTGGACATTCTCTTTGCCAATGACCTCCCTCCTTGCAATTCCACAGCCAACAACTCAGTTTTCTTATGCATTCTAGCATCTCTTTCCTGTTTTTCCACCTTATCCCTATTAACAAACACTTTCCTAGCCACCTCCAACAATTCTGTAGTGTTCTTTCCTAATGCTCCTTCTAACCTCTCCACTTTTTTCTTATATCTTCATAACTCTGTGCTATGAACCTCTCATTCAACATTCGCACATTGTCTGCACTCCTTGGATCAACCTGTGTATAAAGCTCATAAGCCTCAATCAGCCTTTGCAAAAAAAAAACTTTCCGGACTTTCATCTGCCTCCTGCATCACAAAAGACGGCTTTAACACATTCACTGAAGGCTTTCCAGCCTTGCAAAGAGCCTCTACTACTAAATTCTGATATTCCTTTAACAAAGTCATGTGTGCTGGATTTTGTGTATTCCATTCAGGGTCCTTTTCTGGTGCCCTGGCTTCCATCTCTGGCTGTATATCCCGCACAGCCGACAACCTATCCTTCAAACACTGCCTAACAGCAGCCTTCCACTTCTCCCTTTCCTCGGGAGTCAACAAAATATTCAACAATTGCTCCTCTTTACTTACTTCTCCCCTCACATTTACAGAGAGACCTTCCAAATCCCCTTCCTCCTTGGGGGCTGACAGCCTCCCCCTTTCTGTTTTCGTCTCACAGCTGGCTGCCTTTCTTCGGACACAGCAGGGGCAATCAGCCCTTCCTCCGGCAGAGCGGCTGCTGGCTCTG